GCAATTGTAAACCCAACTTTCCCTCCAAATTCAACGTTAGTTAGGAAACTAGTATCCCAACAGATTCAAATAGATACAATATCCGATTAACATCAAAGACAACAAAGACAAAGGTCCCATTTACAGGCTTTACTCAATTACACTACGCAATAAATAATAAAAGCAAGTCATTTATGAACGCAAGCGAAAAAATCCAACTGATCTAAAAAAATCAATACTATAATTGGCTTACAACGAAAAACGGTTTGTGTAAAGTATGTAAATATTTAAATACTTCCACAATATCCATTATGCGCGATGTTCTAGTTCCTAATAATCCGTTGAGGATTATTTTTAAATCGACTATAGTTAATTCTTCCGGATTTTTGTGACATAATGTATTCATTTGGATAGAGATCATTCTATCGATCTTGCGACAGTTAAAAAGAAGAAACAACGAATAGATATTGCAGAAAAAAAACGCTTAGATTAGCCAAGTGACAAAAAAGGATAAAAGGAATACAGTGGAGGAAAGTGAAGCATCATGGTCAATAGGAAAAAGCTTAGCTTCGAATACTTTCGATATTAAAATAGGAGAATAGCTGAGACATAGTTGGACAAATAAATGGGGGAAGCGGATTCCGAAAAGATATTAAATCATGGAAATACTGAAAAAAATGGAAACAAATACAAGCAATAAATAAATTAATAGCATTAATCTCTCTCTAACTTCCCTAATATTCCTCCATTGTTTGATTTTGTACAAGTTAGAGAAATGCTTTGTCCAGTTTTCTTTACTGATTTTATGTCTGACTGTTTTATAGTTGTGTTGTTATATTGTTTTATAACATATTTACATAGTTTTCATTGTCTTTGTTAATTTTTTCTATTGTTTCCATTTGCTCTTTAATCCATTCTGACCTTTTTTTCTTATATTGTTTTACCGATTCTTTTTTTCTTTGTATTCATTAAGTTTTTCATCTGTTCCGATTTTTATCCATGTCATCCATGCATGTTTCCTCTCTAAATTTTTGGCTTTGCATTCTTCATCAAACCATTCTTTTGATTCAATGTTTTCTCTGCGCCTCTATTACGCTTCTTTTGATGCTGTTCCAGTCAATTTCTATATCTTCAGTTTCGACCGTTTGTCGTTTTGTTTGCTACATCTTCTAAGTATGTTCACTGCTTCTATTTTTAGCTTCTTTTAAGGGTCCAGATTTTTTATTATTTCGTTAAGCTTGCGTTCTTATTATTTTCATTTTTAACCCCATCTATATCTTTCTTATATTTTTCTTTGTTTATCCATGTGTTAACCAGAATGCAAGAACAGCAGATATCATATTTAATCCAGATATGATAACAGCACAAATGCTCAAAGCTACAGAAGAAACCGGAATAAAATTGATTGGATACCTCTATCCCCAGATAATCATTTGTATTACTTTCCAAGATAGCATCACCTGCATAACATATTTAGAAATATTGAATTAAGTACACATGAAACAGAAGAAGCGGCAGATACAAAGAAAGTTTTTGAAATGAAACATTCTAAGAGAGTCTTTGAACCTACCAATGGAAATATGATATGTGGATCCGGATAGAAACATGAACTCTTCAAAGAAATATCTATTTCAAGTCTTTGATGCACTGGTAGCGATATATAGACAATAGAATAAACCAATAAAGGATTAACAGAAAAGAGGAGCACTAGTGATAGCGGGCAGCCAAAACGCTGATGATCTTCAGAACTTGTGAACATTATTGGAATTGGAAGAAGAGAAGAATATAAAGACGACCATTGTTATACCAGAGAATAAGATAAAACCGTATGAGAGGCGATCTTAATAAACACAGTGGAATAATACGGATATCACAAAAATACTGAATGGAGACTTAGTAAAAGACAATGGGAGTCCTATGTCCAAAACTGAATAAGTTAAAGCACAATAAGAGATATTTTTTCCTTCACTTTTATACTTTTCTCTTTCTAGCTCTGCTTTTCCTTATTAATGTATAAAAGACCTTTGCACTTGTATGTTCCACTTAATAGCACATCATCCTCTATTTTTATTAACATCTGAGAACCAAAACCCAAAGATTATAGAGGTTGAAAGTACAAATATTATTTCAACATTTTGTTCCGTCATGCTGTACTAATTACTTAATAACGTCTACCAAAACCGTTACTAAATATACAATATTTACGTTTCTTATCTATTTTCTAATATTGGGAATGACCTCTTATCAGCTGCTTCTGTAGTATTCACTAAAATATTACGTACAAAGGCTATGTTATGTCTGAAAAACGTTCGTCTTGGATTTTACCAAAACAAGAATGTTTGACTGGATGATTATCTAAAATGATTTATACTGATCAGAGTTCTTTCTGTCTCATCTTGTAGTAGTGTAACTTAATTATATTAAATATTTCTTGCAACACTTTTTATTTTATCAAATAGCTGCACAAGAAAAAGTACAGTCAAGTATTGGCACTTTCTCTGCCACTTATGTCACTTTTTTGAGTTCTTGAATTGTTCATTTCGTTTTCGATTTTTTATGTTTTATCTATAATATTTTTCTTTCCAAACTTGATATTGTCTAGTGATTTATCATATGTCAATCATAACTGACAATAGTCCTCTTTTCCAAAACTGACAAGGAGTTATATCTCATAGTCCATTATCATAATCCACTGTTGGATTTTAATGAATCTTGAAACAAGCATATTTTTATTTATCGTATGGCACGTGACACATTTACATTTAAATTTACATATATTTCGTATAAAACATAATACATAATATGAAAATCTATCTTATTTATAAGTCTATCGACTCTGGAGCCACCATTAGGAAATCCTATGACCTGCCAATATAGGATCTTGTGGGACAGTGTTCTGTGATGTGACAGATGGTTTGTGGTTGTCCGCAGTCACAGAGTGGGGATGGTCGTTTACCCATTTGTGCATCATCTAACCTCATCTGCCGTGTTGGGTTCTGATTCGGTTCAGCATAGTCCATGTGTTGCATGGTAAGTCAAAACCTGGTGGTTTTTGTGTGATGCAGGGTAAGCTGCTGTTTTGTTGTTCCATCCATTTGAGTTCAAGTGGTCTGATGGTTACACAGCTTCTAGATTCAAATTTTTCTGCTGTTTTAAGAGATGTTCCTTGAAAGATAGCGTTCTATCAAGAGTCATCCCAAGGTACTTTGGTATTTTATTGTAGGCGAGTTTGGTATTTTCGAATTGGATGTTAAGTGTTCTTCCTGCAAGCTTGTTATTTAGGTGGAAACTAGAGACCTCCGTTTTGGTAACGTTTGGTTGGAGCCTTCATTTACAGAAATACTTTTCCAGTGTGTGTAACTCCGCCGTGAAGATTTCTTATATTTCTTCAAATGACACCTTGTTGCAAGGACCCAGTCATCGGCGTAACCAAACTTGCTTGATCTGGTTTCTGGTATATCAGCGATATACAGGCTAAAGAGAAGAGGAGCTAGGACAGATCCCTGAACCAGTCCATTCTTCAGTTTTCTTGGGGTGCTTATGTCGATTCCCATGACTACTTCGTTCGGTCGGCTAGCATGCTGTTGATTATTCGAGCGGTGAATTTACAGGAGATTGTACGGAGTAGCTTGTATACCATGCCTTCTCTCCAGACTGTATTGTAGGCGCCACTGTTAGGTCTATGAATGAGGCTGCATTCTCTGCATTTAAGTTTTTTCTCTGCAAATCTGCCCCAATAAATGAGAAAAGTGAAACCTGCGCAGCTTCTTTTCGGTAGGAAACCTGCCTGATCAACCGGTATTGATTCAAATAGTTTTGGACCAATTATGTTGTAGATAAGTTGTTCTAGTAGCTTGAACGTCGTCGATAGTAGGGCTATCGGTCTGTAGCAGTGATGGGAAGACCTGGTTCGTTTCGGTGACCCGGGTCTTCCAGGTCAATCATTAAAATGATCCGTTCATAAAGATTCGTTCATATGAACGACTAATTAAATTTCTTTCTGAGAGTATATGAATTAATGATAACGCAGGACCCGTTCATAGAGATTCGCTCATTAGGAGTCGCCGTGAATTGACCGATCAACGTGGCGCTATCACACAATTCGTTGTGTAAATACTAAACAGCGTCATTCATAGGGTCATTAGAACGATATTGTCACAGAACGTGATTGTATCAATCACGGGTCTTTGAAAGAATTCGATCTTTGTGAATGGATCGTTCGTGTTATCATTTGGTTTCCCTGTTTCTCATATGGCAATGACCTTCGAGCCTTTGAGTTCCTGTGGTATGGTACCGGTCTTCATAATGTCTGAAAAGTAGGCCATCCATTTTCTCGCATATTTGCCGCCGTTAATTAAGAATTCGGGATGAATATGGTCAAAACCTGGGGCTTTACAACCTTGAGAGCTATAGTGACTTCTTCGCAAGTGTCTTGGTATGTGCTTTTTGGCCGTGTTTATTACGGCTCCAAACGAATCTTTTGTAATTTCTGATGGTAGGGGTATCCAGCCTAGAGTCTTATCCAGTTCTGCAGAAAAACTCCCTACATAGTTTTTTTAGATTCCACCGTGAACGAGGGAAGGATGTGATTATAAGAATTTGGGTTACTGCCTCTATGATCACTGGGCGGTTTTAGCTTTGTGGAAAGTCGTCCATTACTTTTCGAGAGACTGCTAGAGGTTGCCCGTTTTTATTAGTAGAGACAAAACATAGATCAGGATTGTACACCTTCTTCCATGCTGATGACATGAATGTAGGTCGGTCTTTAGCATCAAACTTAAGAGATAGAATGATAGAAAAAAGCATAAAGTTACATCAAGAGACAGTTATTGTTTAATTTGGTATTTGTATTAGCTGTTTTAATCTGGCGAAATATGCAGATATATCTTGTTGGATACTAAATTTGAACATTTCACAGTTATGACTTGTTTTTATTATTTATTTTCAAAAGTTGCGTTCACCAAAGCGTGCATTACTAGGCCGGTATCATTAAATAAATATACTGGATCGGTAAAACTGACCTTTATGCTTCTGGATAGTTGGCGTAATCGCCATGGCCTCTGGAGGATGATGTATACGGGGAACGTCAGGACGTCGTACACGAATGCTAGGGCCTTAAGCGCGCCTATTGCTATGGTGAACCCAACGCCATCCATATCCCTGCAAAAAGAAAAGAAACTTTAGTTATTGAAATAAAAAACAGATCAAAAAATAATATTTCTCCACATAACACCTAATACATAAACATATTCGAATTACTTTCTGCTAATAAGAAAACAATATATATTTAAAAAAAAGTATTCCACCCAGCATTTTGGATTATGTAATTAAACGTTCAACAAAAGTTCACCGTATAACAAATATTGCTGAAATTGTACATGCTATCAAACTATTAAAAAGTAACAAAACCCCAGGACCAGATGATATGTACGCAGAAACAATCAAGTTACTTAATGAAGAAAACCTAGACATTATTGTCAAGCTCTTTAACGACATCTACGATACGGGCCAGATTCCAAAAGATTGGCTTCGATCTACATTTATCGCCCTACCAAAAACACCACGTGCGAACTTCTGCAAGGACCACCGACTAATAAGCCTAATGAGTCACTTTTTAAAACTTTTCCTGAGAATACTTCACACTAGATTGTTTAAGAAATGTGAAGAGGTCAGTGGATGGAGTCAGTTTGGTTTCAAAAATGGACTTGGCACGAGAGAAGCGATCTTTAGTATGCAAACATTGATACAGAATTGTTTAGATCAAAGAAAGGATGTTTTTATCTGTTTCATCGATTACGAGAAAGCATTCGATAATGTAAAACACGAATTGATGATAAAATACCTACAAGAGTTGGGATTGGATGCAAAGGATATAAGAATCATCGCCAATCTGTATTGGAATCAGACAGCAACAGTACGTCTTCAAAATTCCAACGAAACAGAAGATTTCTCCATTAAAAAAGGAGTAAGGCAAGGTTGTATACTGTCCCCAATGCTGTTCAATTTATACGTAGAAAAAGCCTTCGCAGAAGCAGTGGAAGACTCTAATAAGGGTATTAAAGTTAACGGCATATTTATTAATAACATCAGGTATGCCGATGATACAGCCATAGTGGCAGATAACATCGAAGATCTTCAATGCCTTTTAAATGATCTAACTCTTGCAAGTGAAGCTCGGGGTTTGAAAATAAATATCAAGAAGACAAAATCAATGATTATAAGTAGAAATGATTACCCCAACGCAAAGATATATGTCTCTGGAGAAGAAATCGAACAAGTCAGGCAATTCAAATACTTGGGATGTTTGCTGAATGAGGGTTGGGACCCCGAGAATGAAATAAAGAGCAGAGTTGAACAAGCCAGAAATGCTTTTTTGAGGCTTCGTAAGTTTCTGACTGATCGCAAATTGGACTTCAACCTCCGATACAAGATGCTTAAGTGTTACGTGTGGCCTGTTCTCCTGTACGGAATGGAAGCATGGACGTTAAAGGCCAGTTCCATTAACAAACTTGAAGTGTTTGAAATGTGGTGCCTGCGTCGAATGCTCAGAATATCATGGACGGACAGGGTCAGAAATGAGGAAGTACTCAGAAGAGCGGGCTTACAGGATAGGGAACTTTTTAATTATGTAAAAAGTAAGAAGACTGCATACTTGGGGCACATTATACGAGGAGAACGATACACTTTTCAGCAACTGATACTCGAAGGGAAGATAGAGGGTAGGAGAGGTCTCGGACGTAAAAAAATGTCATGGCTGCGCAATATTCGACAATGGACAGGAATCCACAGCTATGAAATGCTTCGCAATGCTGCTAAAAACAGAATTATTTAATCCAGAATATTTAACATCTCACCTGACAAGACGATGTACGGTGGACGCCTACGCAGAAATGCACGGCATTTTAAGAAGAAGAAGAAGATAACAAATATTATACAGCTCAGCTATTTTCATATACAAGGCAAAAGAATTTGATAAAATGTGACACGAAAGCTTATCACTAAAACTCAAAAGATATTTTTCAATCAACTATGTACAGGTACATACAATTATATTTGGAAGATAGAACTTTTAGAGTTAAACATGAAGGTGACTATTTAGAAACACGAATGATCATTCACTCAGGGCAGTGATCTGGGACGGAAAACGTTAAACTGGACATTTACAGACGATACTGAAATCCTAACGGTTGGACAGTCACTCGAAAAGACGACTAGACACCTCCAAACGCAGTGAACAAAATAAATACTTTCAAACAACAAATGGTGCATAAAAAATAATAAAAGGGAAATGTGCACATATCGATTTCACTCATAAAAAAGTAAATAAGCACCCAGTTATACTGAACAATAAAATTGTCCTTTACAAGAAAAAAACCTAGGAATAGATCTGGATAGTTAAATATTTAGGGCTGTTGTTTCTGAGAGAAGAGTTCATTTTACATAAAAAGTTCTAATAAACAGTTTTGTTTAAAATAATCTCAGCTACATTTTTTATTTGAAACATTTTTTTCTACGGCCTAAAGATTCTTAGCGGCCTGAAATGCTTAAGATCAAACTTAGGAAAGCCTGTAATAATCTTATTGGAGGATACAGATGGAAAAGAAATAAGAGAAAAAGAACAAAATCCTAAAAGTTACTCAAACATTTTACCGTGATTTATATTCCTCAAACAACAACCCAGATAACACTGCAAAGGAAGATCTTAAGAGAAAGATAACGAATGTCAACTCAGAAATACTTCCTAACATAGAATCCTTCGAAATAAAACAAGCTATGGCACAACTAAAGAACAATAAGGCTCCGGGCCCAGATGGAATACTTGTAGAAATGTTAAAGGAGGGGAGTGAAATTATTCTCGAAGAATTGAAATTTTTTTCAACGAATGTCTTCACAGAAGAGAAGTTCCAGATGATTGGAATGAAAGTTTGACAATACTTCTCTTCAAAAAAGGAGACAGGGGAGATCTGAAGAACTATAGACCAATCTCCCTGCTGTCCCAAATGTACAAACTGTTTATGAGAGTAATAACTAACAGGTTAACGTCGAAGCTCGATAGCTATCAACCGGTAGAGCAGGCAGGATTCCGAAAGGGTTACAGTACAGCGGATCATCTTCTTATAGTCAGAACGCTAATAGAGAAAGCCAATGAGTATCTTCTTCTTCTTCTTCAGCCTTCATTTATCCAATGTTGGACATAGGCCTCCTCCAATTGCTTCCACGCTTCCCTATCTTTTGCAATTCTCATCCACTGCTTTCCAGCTACAGCAGTTATATCGTCTATCCATCTCTTTTTAGGTCTTCCCACGCTTCTTTTTGTTTCTCGAGGTCTCCAGAATGTCACTTTATGAGACCATCTGTTGGTGTCTTGTCTTGCTACATGTGCTACCCATTGCCATCTCAATGTCGCTATTTTTCCCATGATGTCGGTTACTTTAGTTCTTCGACGTATTTCGGTGTTAGGAATTTTGTCTCTGAGGCTTATATTTAACATGGCCCTCTCCATGGCCCGTTGAGTTACTCTTAATTGTTCTGCCATTTTTCTTGTTATTGCCATAGTTTCCAATCCATAAGTTGCAACTGGTAGTATACAAGTGTCATAGGTTTTTCGTTTTAAGTGAATTGGGATTTTTCTGTCTTTTAAAATGAAGCTCAACTTACCAAAAGCAGCCCATGATAATTGTGTCCTTCTTTTAATTTCTAGGGTTTGATTTTCCTTTTCGTTTTTAATTGCATGTCCTAGATATATATATATATATATATATATATATATATATATATATATATATATATATATATATATATATATATTGTTCTACCTTTTCTATATTGATGTTATCTATCGTGATGTTTTCTAGGCTGTTGCTTAATATCTTTGTTTTGTCGAGATTCATTTTTAATCCATTTTCGGCCCAATTTAGTTGTTTGAAAACATTTTCCAAGGCCAAAGTAAATAACTTGGGTGAGATGGTGTCGCCCTGTCTCACACCTTTGCCAAGGTCTATTTTCATAGTTTCCAGATCATCATCTATTTTTACGTGAAAAGTAGCATCATCGTATATATTCTTAAGGAGGGCAGCATATCTTGAATCTACTCTGGCGTCGTCCAATGCTGTTAAGAAAGCCCATTTCTCGATACTGTCGAATGCTTTGTGATAATCGACAAATGCCAGATGTAGTGGTATGTTGTACTCTATTGTTTTTTCAATAATGGTCCGAATTGTTTGCAAGTGATCGATAGTGCTAAAACCCTTACGAAAGCCTGCTTGCTCCACTGGTTGGTATGCATCTAGTTTAGCTGTCAATCTATTTGTTATTATTCGGGTTAGTAGTTTGTAAAGGTGTGACAATAAGCTTATTGGTCGGTAGTTTTCTATATTTGCGGCGTCCCCTTTTTTATGGAGTAGAATGACTTCCGCATTTTTCCATGTCTTCGGTATTTGTCCTTCCAATAGGCATTTATTAAGTAATGCTCTTATTGCCTCTTCTAATGCAGTGCCTCCCATTTTTAGCATCTCTGAAGTAATTTTATCTTCTCCTGGTGTTTTCCCATTTTTCATTTGTTTTAGGGCGGCTCTAATTTCTGATGTTATTATTTCAGGGAAGTCCTCTGAGCCCACATTTAAGATATGTTTTGTTGGTATACCGGGGTTCGGAATAGTAGAAGTATACAGCTTCTCATAAAATTTTCGGATTTCTCTAACGATCTCTTCCTTATGCGAGCACAATGTTCCACGGTCGTCTTTTATCTTTATGATTTTATTCCTGCCAGTGGATTTACATGTTTTTAGTACTTTCATGTTCTTATTGTTTTCTATGGTTTCAAGAATCTGGTTTGTTCTATAAACTCTGAGGTCTTTTCGAATATTTTTCTTAACGCTTCTGTTGAGCGCTTTATAGTCCGGGTTATCTCTGTTCGTTCTTCTTCTTTTCTCTATCTGTTCTAGAGTTTCGGGTTTTAGTTTAGCTTCCTTTTGTTTTCTTATTCTGCAACAAAGTTTCTTAGTGACTGTTTGTATGTCTTTAGTTATTTTCTCAGCTAGTTCATCTATATTCTTGTGCTCAAAGGTATTTGCTACTAGTTTTCGTGCTAATTCCTCTTGGTATTTCTCTTTATTACTGGCTAGGATGTCTGCCGTCGGTAAAGGGTTTGTTGTTAATAG